GGTAAAGGAGGACACTTGGTTTGCTCATATTTTCAACACATTTCTGAAAAGGAATAATGTAGAAAATGAACACTGTTTGTATACAGATAAGTGGTAATAGCAGCCCTTCTTTTATATAATACAGTTGAGTTGGAGTTCCCTGCATAGCTTGCAATATATCAGTTCCGTCTATTATATCTTCCATAATTGAGAGGAAGTTCATGGGACCATTACTGCCTAAACATACTAGTAGCTTATAATTGTGTCTCTGTGCTAGTACACTGTAGAGCAGGTGTCCTTAAACATTTTAGTCTAAGGACTTCTTTAGAGTGCTTAAATTTAGAGACTGGATGCAGTGGCTCATTACTGTAATCCCAGCACTTTGGGAGGCCGAGGCAAGAGGATTGCTTTGAGCCCAAGAGTTTAAGATCAGTCTAGGCAACATAGACCACGTCTAAAAAATTAGCCAGGCATAGTGGCATGCACCTGTAGTCCCAGCTACTCAGGAGGCAGAGGTGGAAGGATCACTTGAGCCCAGAAAGTTTAGGCTGCCATGAGCCATGATTGTGCCACTGCATTCGGGCCTGGGTGAGAGGGTAAGATCTTAAGTCAAAAAAACAAAAACAAAAACAAAAAAATTTAGAGGCCCAGATAATTAGTTTAAAAAATGTGAATTATTTTTTATTAATATTTATCATATTAGAAGTTAAGACAGCAAAGTAAAAATATTAGTTTGTTTTACAATGGCAATAGTAAATCCATATTAGTAAAATAGCATTTATTGTGAAAAATACTTTCCAAAAAAGAAATTAAGTTTTCCAAATCTCTTTAGTGATTATTTTAGTGGAACAAAATTGGATTCTTGTTATTTTGACATCATTTTGAATGAAGTGTTTGAAAGGAACCTGGTCATACACAGATATGTAGGAAGAAAAAAAGGGAATAATATTTAAATAATTTTTATAGATAGTTGTGTATGTTTTTCTTTGATACTGTACCATAGTCAACAAGTGATAATTTATTTTTGTAAAAGACAGGTTTGTTTGTTTGTTTATTTATTTATCTATCATATGAGTCAGAGTCTCACTTTGTTACGCAGGCTGGAATGCAGTGGCACGTTCATGGCTACCACAGCCTCGACCTGTGGGCTCAGGGATTTCTTCAACCTAAGCCTTCCAATTAGCTGGAACTACAGGGTTATGCCATCACACCTGGCTAATTTTTTAAATTTATTGCGGAGATGAGGCCTCTCCAAGTTGTCCAAGCTGGTCTTGAACCCCTGGGTTCTCTCCTCTCTCCTCTGCTTCCTAAAGTGCTAAGATTACAGACGTGAGCCACCAAGTCCTGGAAGGCAGGTTTATTGCAGTATAATTTATAAAGAATAAAATGTATTTTTTTAGATGTACAATCCTGTGAGTTATATTAGACTATATGACCCACACATACAGTCATATAATACCACCACAGTCAAGGTGTGCAACATTTTCATCATTCCACAAAGTTTCCTTATGCCCTTTTGTAATCAACTTTCTTCTCACTCCTAGCTTCTGGCAACCTCTTGGATTATTTCTGTTCCTGTATTTTTGCCTTTTCTAGAGTATTGGATAAATGGAATCATACGTGATAGCCTTTTGAGTCTGTCTTTTTTACTTAGCATAATATTTGAGATTTATCTATATTGTTGCAGATATTACTAGTTTGTTCCTTTTTATTGTGTGGTTGTTTGCTTATACATTTCCCAGTGATGGATGTTGGGTAGTTTTCAATTCAGTAAGATTATAGATAAAACCAGTCTAAACATTCATATGTTTTTATTTCTTAGGTAGATACCTAGACATATGATCACTCGGTACTATGGTAGGTAGGCATATGTCTAACAGTAAGAAGTTGTGAAACTGTCTTCCAAAGTGACGGGACCGTTTTGCATCATCTTCTTCAATGGATGACAGTTTCAGTTGCCCATATATTCAGCAGCACTTTGATATTGTTTGTTGTTTTTTTGCTTTTGTTTTATTGTAGTCATTTTAGTAGGTATTTCATTGTGGTTTTAGTTTGCTTTCTCCCATGATTAATGATGTTGAGTAGCTTTCCATGTGTAATTTTTCCATGCATATCTCTTTTTTGGCAAAGCATCTTTTTGAGTCTTTTTCTCATTAAAAAAATGGACAGAGTGTTTTCTTATGATTGAGTAGTGAGAGGTCTTTTTATATTCTGAATATCAATCTTTTGTTAGAAATGTGTTTTACAAGAATTTTCTTCCAATCTGTGACTTTTTTCCTCCCTTAATTTTCAAAGAGTAGTAATTTTCATTTTAATGAAGTTCAGTTTATCAATTTTTTATTTTGTCATTGATGTGTTTTGTGTTTAAGAAGTCTTTCATAATTTGAGATCACAAAGACTTTTCATATATTTTGTTTTGGAAGTTTAATAATTTTGAGTATTATTTTTAGATCTATGATATGTTTTAAATTAATTTTTATATGTGGCTTGAGATGGGTAGAGATTCTTTTTTTTTAAATTTTTTTTGCATATGGATGTTCATTTACTTCAGCATCTTTTGTTGCCAATACTTTTTTTCTATTGAATTGCCTTGGCATCTTTTCTGTACATCAATTGATCATATATATGTGGGTCTTTTTCTGGATTCTCTATTCTGCCCTCCTGATGCATGTATTTTTCTTTTTACCATGACCACACTGTCCTTATTGCTGAGGTTTTATAGTATTACAGTTAGGAAGTGTGAATTCTCCTTTGTACTTCTTTTTCAGAATTATTTTGGGTATTCCAGTTCCCTTATTTTTCCAGATAAGGCACAATTTCTTAAAAGCTAGTTACAATGGGGAGTCTGAAACTACTAATGAACTTTTTGTCTTTCATAACATTAAAATCTAGTGATCTATCATGCACAGAGTGAATCTTTTACCCGTGAATGCTTTTGTAACATTACACATAATTCATTTGGAAAATATTTGTTTCTGAATTATAAATAGGCCTTCTAGATATTGGTATATTTCATGATTTAATATTTAAAAGACACATTTGTTAATATCACCACTGATTTCATCAGAAAAAAGTATTGGGAAGGTGTCATGCTAATGGTAGTGGATGTAACTTTTCTAAAGTCTTTGTTTTTTCTTGAAAACTCAAGTCTTATCATTGGCAATGCATCATATTAATTGCTTTTCTTGAAGTAATAGACTCACTTGGTTCACTTTGGAGAACATGGCTGCCAGGTGCCTAAGAATGAGTAGCTATAGGTTGTTTTGATTACAGCTCAGCTAGCTACAAGGACTTATTTTTGAGACAACTGTTTTTACAATTGACCCTCAAACAACAAGTGTTTGAATTGCATGGTCCACATATACATGGATTTTTTTTTTTATAAATATGTTGGGAATTTTTTTCGAGATTTACAACAATTTGTAAAAACTTGCAGATGAACCACATAGCCTGGAATTATTGAAAAACTAAGAAAGGGCATGTCACGAATGCATAAAATATATGTAGATGCCAGTCCTTTATCATTTAATCCCATAAAATATACACAAATCTATTATAAAAAGGTAAAATTTATCAAAACTTAAGCATACACCTACAGACCATACATGGCACCATTTGCATTTGGGAGAAATGGAAACAAATGTAAAAATATAGTATTAAATCACAACTGCATAAAATTAACTATAGACCACACAGTACCACTGTAATAATTTTATAGCCACTTTCTGTTGCTATTGTGGTGAGCTCAAGTGTTGGGAGTATCTGTTTAAAATACAGTGTTGCCCTAATCATGTCTGCGTGAGCAGTTCATTTCTCCAGTAAATTGGGTATCACAGTAAGAAGTGATCTCTTGCGGTTCTTGCATATTTTTCATTGTGTTTAGTGCAATGCTGTGAACCTTGTAAAATTTGAATAACACCATGGGACCTATACAGAATGCTACTAGTGATGCTGGAAGTGCTACTAAGAAGTGAAGAAAAGCCATGACATCATAAGAAAAAGTTGAATTGCTTGCTGTGTACCATAGATTGATGTCTGCAGCTGTGGTTGCCCATCGTTTCAAACAGATGATTCATTTTGTGAACAGATGACGTAAACTTGTGGTATCGATAAACACAGTTTAGTACTTTAAACCCATTTTCTCTTTCTTAATAACATTTTCTTTCTCTAGCTTATTTTAGTGTAAGAATTTAGTATATAATCCATATAACATACAAAATATATGTTGATCAGCTTTATGTTTATCAATAAGGCTTCCATTCAGCAATAGGCTATCAGTAAAGTTTTTGGGGAGTCAAAAGTTATATGTTGATTTTTGACTGTGGGAGTGGCACTCTTTACCCCCAAATTGTTCAAGGGTCAGCTCCACTTCACCATGCAGCAGAATTATATTTGCTTAGTTTCTATTTTGTCACATAAAATTAACTGAAAAGTAGTTTACTCAGGGGCCAAGATTTTTTTTTTTTTTTTTTTGAGTTGGAGTCTCACTCTGTAGCCCAGACTGGAGTGCAGTGGCCGCTCCCGGCCACCGCAGCCTCGACCTGCTGGGCTCCGGCGATCCTTCCGCCTCAGCCTTCCAGGTAACCGGAATTACAGGCATGCGCTACCACGCCCGGCTGATTTTTTGATTTATTGTAGAGATGAGGTCTCACTGCCCAGGCGGGTCTCGAACCCGCGGGCTCAGGCAGTCCACTCACCTCAGCCTCCCAAAGGATTACAGGCTGAGCCACTGAGCCCGGCTCCAAGATTTAATAAAATTAACAATTTCTGCTGTTTTTCATCATGGATACTCTTAAGTAAAGTGAAACTGGTGTTGTCCAGAGAAATCTTATTATGCACGTGATCACTTCCTATTGTTGTTTTTATACTTACACTACAGAAATTAACCTGGAAACCTAAACCCAGCATTATAACACTGGGAAGATAATCAATTGCTGACATTTTAGGAAGTTGCTATCTTGGGAAACAGTTTCCTATTTTGAGATCTAATATGACTATATTGTTGTTTTATTATCTTATAGGTGCTATACTTGGTAGATCAGAAACTCAGGAGTGTCTTTTCTTTAATGCCAATTGGGAAAAAGACAGAACCAATCAAACTGGTGTTGAACCCTGTTATGGTGACAAAGATAAACGACGACATTGTTTTGCTACCTGGAAGAATATTTCTGGTTCCATTGAAATAGTGAAACAAGGTTGTTGGCTGGATGATATCAACTGCTATGATAGGTAAGGACACATTTTATTTTTTATGATAGTATAGAGTAATTTTTATCCTTTCTTCCTTTTAAAGGGGGAAAGATCAGTGCATGGATTTTCACTTAAGTGTTTCTTGTTTTTTTTTAAATGGGATTATGAAGAACATTATAACATGTTCTAATTTTAATGAATTTTAAAGTAATAAAATAAACATGGTGTGTTTATGCTTTATCTTTGACATGTTTTGAATACTCTACCAAATAGTAAGGTCTCTTAGATAAGAAACATTTCTTTCCCCATGTTGTTAGGATTATAAACTTTTTAAAATGTCAATGTTAAGGAAAAGAGTTTTTAAAAATTGCTTTAAAAGAGAGTATATTTGTTGAAAATCTATTTTCAAGGAGAATACAGCTTAATCGTAGTATTTAATTTCCTTTCGGTTTCCTTCTTTATATATCTGGAAGGAATTGATCTTATTACACTTTCTCTTTTTATTTTCCCCAAGAATTCTTTTGTTCTTTACCCCAAGAGTCATTTTTAACTTTGTGTTCAGAATTACATCTGAAATAACACAGTCCTCATAGAAAGCCACATTTTATTTAAAAGATCTTGTTTTATTCTGTACTGGAAAGAAAATATAGTGGCCATGTTATTGACTGCCTATGATCTTTCTGTAAGGAGTCCTGTAGTTGTTGACTGACATCTTATCTGCCTGGGCCTCAGAATTTCCACTGTGAATGGGTGCTGAAGCTGCAAAATCCTAGATAACCAGATATTTTGAGCCATAAAGTGCTGCTATATATACTAGATACTAGCTCTAGATACTTCTGAATCCAATTTTAGGAGCCTCAATTGATTACCTAGAGCCTGTGATAGATTAGTCATAAGTAACATATGCAAAATGCTTTGAATAAGCCCTTGAAAGTTGAATTTTACATTTTATGAGAAATTAGAACATAGTCACTTAGGTATATATTTAGCATTTAGGGTGTACTTCTGAGTCTGAATTTTCCAGGGATCATTTCTGTACACTTAAAATTTTGCTGCATTTCTGATTATTAGCCTGTCTACTAACAGAAGTGGTCATCAAATGATATGTGCTATTATGAAAGATAAATAGGATGAAATGGGGGGAAAATGAGGTTTGAGTATGTCATCTTTATGCAAAACTATCTTCTGTGAACTAGTTGAAATCAATGTTCCTATTCTTTTTTGCAGTAAAAAACAATTGTGCTTTTTTACCTAAGACCAGTATTTTAGTTATGTGACTCAGGTAGAGTAGTAGGTAGATTCACTGGAATCCGAGGAGTAGGTTGTCATTGCAAATGCTTGCTTTTAGAGTGGTGATTATTATTATATTATCTTTGTTTCTGGGGGTTAAATACTAATTTAAAAGTTTGTGAATTTTTGTTTTTATACTCTAAATTTGATTGAAAAACAAATAGTAAGGATAGTTAAAAAAAAGTAAGAGAAAGGAAGGTTCAAGAAATGTCAAACTGGAAGAAAAAAACCTTATAAAAGAATGAAGTTGAATGGTGGAAAGCAATTTTGTTGAACATAGACTTAGTCTCTAGAACAAATCCTAATCAATCACTAAGAAACATTTAAATCTATTTTTTTAACTAAACTTTTAAATATTGCAAATAAACATCAAACACTAAGTATTTAATCTTGCTAATCTCCTGTAATTTGAGTCATGATTTTAAATATTTTAAAAATTTATTCATTCCTTTTTATAAACTGTTTAAACTTAGCTTTCCCTTGTCTTTTTTTACCTTCTATCAAGTATTTCTTGGTATAATGTTTTAAAGTTTTATTTTGCTAAAACTTCTATCTCCCTGAAATTTCTTGAGCTTTTCACTTAGGAGTAAACTAATTATTCTAACAACTAGAATAATTAGTTAAACTTATTATTCTAACAACTGGCACAAAAGTTTAGCTTATTTTCAAGACATTGAGTAAGTTCACCTGATGTTTATTTGCAATATTTAAAAGTTTAGTTAAAAAAATAGATTTAATTGTTTCTTAGTAATTGATTAGGATTTGTTCTAGAGACTAAGTCTATGTTTTTTTTTTTTATGACTTAGGTCTCGTGTGGAAGGCTGCTTTTTCCTCTCCTTTTTAAAAAAGTAGCCTAATTCTAATCAGTTTGAGTTACTGGGTCCTACATGATAATATGATTGTTGTTACATATTTGTTCTCTACTTGTTGATCTCAACCCTGTTCATTGAGTTCAGATAATTAAAATCTACACTATGAAATAAATGACGCTATTAATTCCCACCTTTAGTTTGGGTCTCTGCTGTTAAGTATGTTCTGCCCATGAGATGTGAGGTTTTAGTTTTTGTATTTACAAAATGGAAAATCTATGCTTCCTGTGAGCACAAAATACTCCTCAACCAAATTGCTTCATTGACTTTATGGTTCCTCTTGAAACTTTTCTAATAATTTTTTTTTGTTTTAAAAATGGTTGCCTTAGATTGCTTATTAAAAACCAAATTAAAGCAATAGTCTCCAGTAGTCAGTGTGATGTTTGTAGCATCAGTTGTTATTTTGTTTTTTCATTTTTGCTGATAAGATTTAATAACCAGGAATCCAGGAGCACTTTTGCCTTTTAAGAATTGATAATTAGATATTAATAAAGATTTTGAAGTTGAATATAAATGACTCATTTGTTATTTTATCTCTGTGAAGAAAAATACCTAGTGTAGTCAGTATAATAATATTGATTTTAATTATTTCCCATCTGTTTATTTATAGGACTGATTGTATAGAAAAAAAAGACAGCCCTGAAGTATATTTTTGTTGCTGTGAGGGCAATATGTGTAATGAAAAATTTTCTTATTTTCCGGAGATGGAAGTCACACAGCGTAAGTTCAGAGGGAAAATACATAGGTTTGTTCAACTAGTAGGTTGAAAACAAAGTGTATTTGTGTTGGTAGAGTGGTTTACTTCTGCCTCCAATATTCTATTTTTTTCCAAAAGTTTGACACTATGATTAATATTTATTAGGGAATATTATAGACTATATCTGAGTTATTTCCCCCCCTCCCTTTTCCACAGCCACTTCAAATCCAGTCACACCTAAGCCACCCTATTACAACATCCTGCTCTATTCCTTGGTGCCACTTATGTTAATTGCGGGGATTGTCATTTGTGCATTTTGGGTGTACAGACATCACAAGATGGCCTACCCTCCTGTACTTGTTCCAACTCAAGTAAGTTATTGTCCCATACTTTGTAGTGTTTTACATTTTATATATTTGAGAAATATTACTGTGGTGAAATCCTCCAGTTTGTTGTAAGTTATTTTCCTTTGGTGTTAGGTTTTGAATGTTTATTGTCATGGGAACTGTAGCTAATTTTGCAAACTTATTAATTTACAAGTCCCAATCTTGTTTCATTTAAGGGTAGAGGTAATGTACAATGAGAAGTATTCCCTTTCCTGTTCCTCTTGAGAGAATTTTGCTTCCCTTCTAATACTTTTAAGTATTACTTGCTTTGTTTCTTGAAAATAATTAATGAGGAGAAGCAGCGATACTTTTTTCCCTTCCATCCCCTACTCCATTCCTAAATTTCTGTGCCTTTTGCAAGACTGCTTGCCAAAACATCCTTTTAATCATGGAGAGAGACCCAGGAAAGTAACTAAGAAGGTATAGAAAAGAAGGTTTCATAAAGGCTTCAGGGGGATGCATCCATAAAAATGTTTAAGGGAAGAAGAGCAGAAGAACAACCTTTCTCTAACATATGTTGTTGGTCAATCAAGTATATAATTGATTGTATCACATGTATTCTAAAGACTAAAACTTTTAAAAACTCTTGTTTCTCACTTAGCCTACCCCAAATATTTCTGGAGATAGAGGTGTAGAGGGTAATCACATTAAATTCATTAAGTTTTCTCCATTTTCTATATGTATAGACACTTTGTACTAGTCCAGTGCTTTATAAGGACCTTTCATGGGAGTAGTTAATATTCTATGGGCCTGGGAAAGCTGATAACTATTTGCTATCCTTGCTTGAGTCATCTCTAAATTCTAGTTTTTAGTTGTATCTTTTCACTCTTAAGATTATATTACCTTAGCCCTCTGGATCTCTTGGTTTAACTTTGTTTCTCTAATACCAGTAGGATTAATGGTTAAAACTTGATAGAAGAAAATGGTAAAGTCCTATAATTTAATGTCCAAAACAACTCCTTCTCTCTAATCTTTATTTACATAATACACTTCTTTCTCAGTACTTGCAGCAATCTGTTAGCATTAGATCATTGATTCCCATAATCTTTGTAAGATGTGTAATATGGAGAAATAAACCCAAAGATAAAATACTTTGTTCAGTAATTAGGTAAGCACTATTTTTTACAGCTTAAATATTTTAACTTTTAAACATCAGTAAGTTTGAATTCATTAAAAATCAATTGTAAAAAGTGTTTTAAGAAAAAAGTTGTAATGCCTAATATATGTAGTTTATTCCAAATGGCCAGAGGATACCTTTTGCTTCTGTCAGTGGTAACTTTTAAAAAATTTGTTCAGTCTAAATTTAGAAGAGAGGATATTCAGTAATATAATAGTTTCCTGGATTTACTCTAGATCTGTGGAATGATGGAAACAGCTGAAAATCACATTTATAAATAAATTTGTTAGTATTTTTATATAAGGAACTTTTTGATGTAATCTTACATAGATAACACTGATCTGCATATAGTAATGATACAAAAGTGTAGCTAAGGCATTTAAAAAAAGAGATTCATATCCTATATGCGAGGTCACTTTATTTAGAAATAGTAATTAATTCAAGGGTTTAGACTTCCAAAAAGGTAATATGTTGTTACTAATCATAAATAACTAAGAACCAGGGGTCTTTCATGAGTATCCATTTCTGTGGGTATTAGATATGTTATGGTTAATGTTACTGTACACATTTATTTAGTACTTGTATTGCTTTGTCATGAATTCACATGAATTTGTGGCCAACTTGTTACAAAAGGTTTAGGTTTATCTCCTATTTAGAAATAATAATAATGACATGAAGCATTATTGAACATTTCCAATGTACTAAGGCACTGTTAAGCTGTTATGCATAAAGATATAAATTATATAGGAATATATAAAAACATATAAGTATATAGAATTTTTAAAATTGACTTTCAAATTGTGAGACTGGTATCATCTTTGGAATTTGTTAAAAAATACAAGTTTTGGGACCACATCCCTGAAAGTATGAAATGGGGCCTGAGACATTATGTTTTTAATAAGCTTCCCATGCAATTCTAGTGACCAGCGAGGTCTGAAAAACACTGATCTAATTTTACCCCATAGGGTTGTTTATGTAGTAAACCCCCCATTTTATAGCTAAAGAAATTGAGACAGCAAAGCTCACAAGTGTCAGAGCTAGAATCTGACCCAAGAACTCCTTGACACTAAAGCTTTGTTTGTGTTGCATGTGCTGTTCTTCCTCTCTTTTTTCGGAAAGCGAATGCTTCTGGCGTTTTCTTATACTTCGGTAAACATCCCTGCCATCTCAAAGTCATTCTATAAGCTAATTTATTTTCCTACTTTTGAATATTGAATAATTTGTATTACTACTAAAAAGAGCACTAACATCATCTCATTTCAACATTGTCTCACATTGGACAGAAGGATAAAAGTCACAGATATATCAAAGGCCATATTCATGTTTTTTTTATGACATAGTTTTTTTTTTTTAAGCACATTTTACAATAGGGTTTATTAACTCCATTTTACAAAAGAGTTTATGAACATAAGCTTGGGTTGTAGGTGAAAATTCCTGTGCTTCTGTGGATACTGCCACTGCTTACTGGTTGTTCAAATCTTTTTTGAAGGGTAGGAGAAGTACAGTAGAAGAGTCATATCATACATTTGAAATCTTAAGGTGACTTTTATATTTTACCTCATATTTATGTCTCCATATTCCAAGTTTAATTCCAAGACCAGTTAGAAAAAGGTCTTACATTCTTACCATGGACTTCTGGAACATTCTTTCACCAGAATCTTTAAATGCTTTTAGACAGTGCCATAAAATTTGTCATTCTTTTTCTTAGGGAAACTTTTTTTCAAAGCTTTGGCTAAAGACTGATTTGTGAATGAACTGATCTATTTTAAGGTATTGTTCTCATTATTACTAGGGTGGCTCTAGTAATTAAGTAGTGGGATTCTGTATCTCTAAGATGTCAAGTTGCTGAGAGTTTTTTTCTGGTTGGTTAGTATTTTATGCTGAAGAAGTAATGTAGTAATATAAGTGCTTTAAAATATGGTCTCTATGTTTATTCTAAAATAAATCTAGCTCACTTAAGTGCTTAGAGAAAAGCAGTTTGCTGTTGCTTTTTTACTGAAGCCATTTATATTTCCTTAAAATTCATAAGTATGATTTATCTACCATTGTTTCATGGTATTACTTTCATCCCATTTATCCCAGATGAAAGCCTTGAAGACAACTTCTGTTCCTGGCTCTGATATTTACCAAGTACTGTTGGTTTACCTTTTCATCTTATGGATCCTATTGTTCAGGACATTATTATTTCTAAGGTTAAGATTTCTTGGTTGCAGATTAGTTGGTTTTCTTGCTTGAAGTTCTCTCCCTTCATTTGTATTATTTCCAGAATCACATTTTATATGTTCAATTGTGTTACTTCTGAGCTTACTTTTGAGTTAAACTAAAATATTTTTATGGCTCCCAGTGATCCACAGCAGAGAAAACAAAATTTGGAACATGTCATATGGTCTTCCATACTCTGCCTTTGGGTTCTTTCTTTCCACTACACCCTAAGCCATCTCTCATATGCATCTGGAATTGTGTTAGTTGTGTACTGTCCTTGAAAGAATTTAGAAAATAGTGCTCAACTCATTTTCTGTCATCTGTAATTCAGATGAATAATTCCATTTGAGAAGGGTTCCTTGTCAAGTGTGTATATGTGCTATTCTCCCACTAGAATGTAAGCTTCATGAGATAAGGTATGTATTGTAACTACTACTGTATCTTATGCAGTGTTTGTATTTAATAATTATTCTGTAAGTGCTGCATTGCTGAATTGAGTTTGTTGCATTTAGAATTTTACTGTGATGTTAATGCTGTAAGCCCAGAGATTCTTTTAATAAGCATTCAGGTGTTTTAGGACTTGACCTTAAGATAAATTTTTTTTTTTTTTTTTTTTTTGAGTTGGAGTCTCACTCTGTCGCCCAGACTGGAGTGCAGTGGCCACTCCCGGCCACCGCAGCCTCTACCTGCTGGGCTCCGGCGATCCTTATGCCTCAGCCTTCCAAGTAGCTGGAATTACAGGCATGCGCTACCACGCCCGGCTGATTTTTTGTTTTATTGTAGAGATGAGGTCTCACTGCCCAGGCGGGTCTCGAACCCGCGGGCTCAGGCAGTCCACTCACCTCAGCCTCCCAAAGGTGCAGGATTACAGGCTGAGCCACCGAGCCCGGCTTAAGATAAATTTTGAGGCCATGTTTTTGGGGTGTGTAAAATATGTTGAAGTGTTCCAGGATCTTAGAATGATATTATTCAGTTTTTTCTGTAATCACAGACTGAAGCTTCCTATCAGTTTTTATTATCCTGGTCACTTTTCTTTAGCCTGTGCTGACACTGCCCTTCTACATGTAGGAAGATGCAGTGAGTAAACTGAATGCAAACTGGTTTTTCTAGTGACAGTGAGTCATAAATATGAGGGAATTGATAAATTTCTTAATAATAAAGAAGTCTTACTGTGGTTAGGGTTAACATAGTTTCAGTAAAACCGAATTGCTTTCACAGCCGTATGTGAGCTTATGTTTCCTGCTTATAAGATCTATATTCGTGCTGATCAAAAAATATCACTTGAGAAAAAATGGAATTTTAGGAGTTAGAAATGACCTACCTTTAACAAAGTACAAAGTTAGCTTCTTGTTCATTTTAAAATCCTATATAAAGGCACTTTAGTATTGAAACATTAATACTTTTTAAAATGACATCAGTCTGTTCATTATGACATTTTATCTGGGTGCTAGTTTGGTAAGGACTAAAGGCTTTTGGGATACTTAAATTGAGCATGCAAAATAATCCTGTTGACCTTAACATTAACGTAATAATAGGTTGTCATTTCATGGTTTATCAAATTACTATCCACTGAGAAGCCAAACTATCTATGAAAATGCTTTGTAGAATTTGCCTCTTCATCTTGAATTCTATATAGTATTCATTTAAAGTTAATAAGTAACTGAGG